ATCAAGATGTGGTTTGCTTTAAAATTTAAATAATACGGCCCCTAAAACTAAGCAAAGAGGTTGTTTGCTTTAAATAAATGTCAATATTATTTAGTCTAGATTATTATATACAATAATGTTGTAGTCTAAACATTAAAATTATTAAAATATGAGAACTCCTGCATAAAGCAATTGCTAGTTCTCCCTTAAGAGTACTCATAGGCCTCAAGTTCGAGGTTATCCTTCTTCCCTTTCTCTTGGGTTGGGTTTCTCAACCCTTTGGTAACTTGATAAAAAAAAAATATATTAAAATATATTATTAAAAAATTAATACAAAGTAAATATTCATTAACAATAATTAGGTAATTTCATAGTTTTAACTACACAGAAACATACATTTTTGTGAGAATTATTACGTGAAAGTAAATAATAATACTTTTAGCAAAAAAACTCATTAGACTGCACACACATGGTCCCATGAATGAGAAGCAGATTTCTAATATTAGAAGTTTTTTTTTTATTTAAATATTTATATTTTGTACTTTAATGCAATTTAAATGATAAAATATTAGATTTTATTTTTAATAAAATTTATGTTTTACATGTTAAATTGCACTTCTACACATTAAAAGTGTAGTCCATGTAGTGCAATTATTAAATTATCATTAATAAAATAATAAAAAATAGATTTTTTAAACATATTTTAATAAATTTATAAATTAAATTACACCTTTAATATATAATATAAACTATAAAAATAATTTTTAATACCTATTCATTCAAGACTTATTACTGTTATTTTTTGTACGGTATATTTGATAAAAAAATGTTTTAGAGGATAAAAGTGATAAACTTATTTATCTCAAAACCAAAAGTATTAACTTATAATCCCATTAAAAATAAGACAAAAGTTTTGGGTCAACCGCAAGAAGGAATTATATTTTTATTTTGATATCTAAACCGAAAGGGAGTATCTTATACTAGTGTGCTGACATTTGTAGCAAGATATGATGCCGATAGGGAGTATTATTGAATCGATATTAACTACTTGGATTACATTTGTCATAATTTGTATATTAGAGGTGT